TTGTTTTCTTTTACAACTAATATAACATATTGGGTAGAAATTTAACTTGCATTGTTGACTAGGTAAGTGAGTTAATAATGAAAGAGCATAAAATGGCTGACTAATGAAGGAGTGTGGGATTTATAATGGTGAAGTTGATGAACATGCGCATAATACTTTAGTAGAATATTCAAGACTTTACAATATAGGATATTCTATCTCAACATAAAATGAGTTCGATAAATTAATAATGGTCCTATTATCGTTAAGATTTTGTTTTAAAAAAAAGATTAAATTAAAATTTTGTTTCGTTGTGACTACTTTAATTATAAAAAAAAAAATTTAATCGTTATAGAATGCTGTTTTCGCTTATATACATAATAATCTCTTAAATACTTAACTTATTTGATAATCATAATTTCACTCATATATTAATAAGTTAAATATTTAATTCTATTTAATAAATAATTATTTATCAATCATTACTATATTTAAACACCTTAATAATGTACTTAAAATTATTTATAAATAAATAATAAAAGTAAGTTGTACTTAATAATGTACAAAAATGAATTATAATTAAACCCATTTTATTGTTAATTTTAATTAAATCAATTAGCAATTGCAATCATAATAAATAAAATTTTAATTGTCATGATCATAAAATAAATTTGAATTATATTTAATATTGATATTTTTCTTTTTATACTTCTATTTGTCACCCGAAAAAAAAGCCAATAATAAAGCTTACGAATCCAGCCTTTAATTGTGAACATAAATTTTTTTTTCTGAATTTTGATATTTATAATGAAAAATGAACGGAGTTTCCATTAGATTTGTTGGCAATGCAATTTAAAATTCAAAACGGTAAAATTTACAATTCAACTAACAAATACTACCTGAATGATTATCAATCAATTATTTCTTGCATCTAATTAATATACCTCGAAATGTAATTTAATGTTCATAAAGTAAATTTTTTTAACTATTTAAAATATTTATTTAATCTTTTTGTCGTTTCCCGTTATTACCCTTCGTATTTTATCAAAACTACTTCCATTTTTGCGTTGTTTTTTTTTTTTTTTTCAAATTTCGTAAATTTTCGATCACTCCGCCAATCTTCGTCTTCAACTTCAAAATTTGACCTCTCTGTCTCTGCTCTGTCGAGTGCAAGAAGCTCTCCTGTGTTTTTTCTTTTCTTAAACCTTCTCTCTCTCTCTCTCTCCAACACAACCAATTAATGTTATCCGATTCCAATTAAATGCGCCATCTCCAATATCTAAATCCCTAATTGAGGAAATGAGAAATTTATACCAGTAGAGCTACTTTCATCCTTCAGTCAAGTTTGAAATGGCAACATCGGCTTTTAGATCGACGACAAGGAGAACGACAATCGGGAAGTCGTCTACTTGCGTTGGTGATTCGTCGTCCTCCAATCGCAACTCCACTCACCGCCGTTCTCGGAGCCTGAGCCGCTTCTCCCGCCCGTTACCCGGGCAGGATGCAGATGGCTTCTCAGACGAGACACCGGCGCCGAGGGGAAGGTTCGTAAACACGATGAGGGGGTCAGGATTCCCGGAGATCAGCCTCGATGACCTCGCTATTGAGCTATTTGACTCGTTCTCTGGCGGCGGAGACCGGGGCCGCGAGGCTTTCAGGAAGTCCAGTGTCAGCCCCGGCGGTATTGAAGGTGGTGTGACTGCGTCGCAGAGGAGGGGGCGGTCAGTTTCTAGGCAAGGCTCGAGAGGGGGTCTTGGCAATGATAGTGGTGGTGGGAAGGTACATTCCGAAAGTAGTAATTCGAGGAGGCGACGATCGGTTTCTGTGGCGCGATGTCAGATTAGCGATTCTGAGGTGAAGCATCTTGGTTTTGTTGTTTTCCTTTTTTTTTTTTGGGTGATACTAGCTTTCCTATGAGTATTGTATCATTCAGTTAAGAAATATTTGTTAGTTATTCTGTCCATTGATTCACAGTCTTTGCATTGATTAGCTGGCTAATGGGTATTTCACTCTAAATTTTACTATTATAAAAGTAGATATGTTTTCAATCAGAAAGCGCGCTACGTTGTAGGCAAGTATCATATTATTGATTGTATATACCCAATTGCATGTGAGTACAAGATAGGCTTTGGTTTAGCGGAGACACTTAAGTGCTAATGATGATGTTGTATCCATTTTATTCGGAGACTTCTTTCCTAATAACTTTTTTTTTTTAAAAAAATAATTCTTTTCTAATGACTTGATCAGTCTAATGAACGACAAATCTTGTTTGAATCTTCTAGAGTTCATTTTCCCTGTAGCTTCCAGGTGTTCTAAACTCTTGTCTCTTTTACTGCTTGCTAAGGACATTTTACTTTAATTAGGATCATTTTGCATGCTATTTTGTATCTGGTCTTACATGTACTGTTCCATTGTTCATCTTGCTTCTTTTGGGCCAAATTAGATTGAGAGATCAGTTGAATTATGAATACAAATTTATATTTCAAAAATAAGTAATGAATGCACATATGGTGCCTGTTAAAAAGACCGGATATTCAAAATTTTCCTTCTATTTTATGTTTGGCATATTTTAACATCAGATATTTCTACTTTGAAATTAAGGGATAACTAGGTTGGAAATTTTCTCGAGCAATTGATGGTTTCCTGAGTTGTACTTTGTTGCACTTCCTAATGTTGGCAATTAATGCATATGCATTGAATGTTCTTGGAAATGGCAGAGTGATCTAGTTCATTCACAGAATCTGACCAACTATGGTAATCGGAGGAGTTCCATTATTGGAAACAGTCAAATGTCCTTATCATATTCGAGAGCAGCTTCAAATCATAGACCAGCATTACGAAGGTCTTTCAGCCAAAAGGACTTAAAATGCCATGATGGCTACTCTGTAAGCATTATCATTCTTTTAGATAGCTTCTTTAGAACTATTATTTATAGATATTTAGTTGATGAAACTAGTACTTCTAATTAAAATGGAGGAAGTTGGTGGATGGATTAGATTTTTGGCTTATATCTCTTTTAAGATCATTTTTAATAATGAAAGTTTGTTTCTTCACTGTATCCATATCCTCCAGAGCCAGTCTTCATCCCTGACTGATGATGAAGTGAAGGATATAAATGCCAGTAAAAATGGGATTGAGAAAACAATTCGAGCTGTTTACACGCAGAAGAAGGTTTGATTGTCTTGCAATAAGAATGACTGTTATGCAATCAACATCATCTTGATTCTTGATACATCCTCTTATTGAGTTTTTGTTCCTGTTTGTTTCCCTTTAGTCCGAGCACCCTGCTGGAGATAATATTAACGGTGGTTTGTATGAAGCAATGCGGAAAGAAGTTAGATATGCTGTCGAAAAAATCAAGATGGAACTTGAGCAAGTTCGTAATTTAATCTTTGGGAATTTGCATTTTTTGTTTCCCTACATTTAAAAGGCTTGGTGCATACTCTGTTTTATCAATATTTAAAAGCCTTGGTAGATGCTCTGTCTTAGCATTAAAAATTTGCTGCTGTTGATATTTCTTGCAATTTGCAGGCTATGGCAAAAACAAAGGACACTGAGCTAGGGGATAATGGTTGCTCACTGGCCAAAACCTCTGAAGTTCTTCAGGCTGTTTCTACAATCAGAAGGAACTATGCAACAAAACTGGAGCAGGTAATAAGAGCATATTTGGCTCAGCTTATTTTTTGTTAACATGAGCTTATAAATTCTCCCATATCATTTCAAATTTGTTTGATAAATACAACTTATAAGCTCTTGAAACAATGTTTTAGAAAGCTGTTAATGCATGGAAAAAATAGGTTGTTGTTGATCAAATAAAAGACTAAAACTAATTGTTAATAGTTTTTAAAGTAGTATTATAGACAATCTGTCTCTTTTCTCTTTTTAAAGGGTCTTTTTCTGTCGCTTGGATATAATTGATAGCTTATAAATCACATCTTTACTAAACACGGAAATACTTACAAGCTTGTGTTACCTAAGCATTTCAGTATCTTATTTACGAAAACAATATCACTTTATATGCTATTGGAGAGCTTATATAGCTTATGAAATCTTGTAAAAAAGGTGAATAAAACCCTTTGAAAGTTAGCTCATGTCTTTTTAATTGTGCATGATGCTTTCTTTGGGGCAACCGATGTTAGTTGAAGAAGTGCTTGAATGGATTGGGTTCTGTCTTCTAAGTATCTGCCCTTTGTTTCTCTGTAAAAAGATATTTATTTACTCCTGCAAGCAGTTTAACCCAAAGGAGAGTGCTTTCGGAGTATTTCCAGTTATGGTTACCATACACTTTGGAGGTTCTTGACTGCCCAAAACTTGTATTATTCACAATTGTTTTGCCTGTTAAATCGATAGAAATTTATGTACTTAGAGAATCAAAAGGCAAAATGAACTTTCTTCTAGTTGTCTTAGATTTAAAAATAACTCATTAATCTTAGTTTATGCTAATATAAGAAATATGAATGCTCTCTTTAACTGTTTTCCACATAATGCTTCATATAGAGGTACAACTGTTCAAACCTTTTGTCTTGAATTGGCAGTCAGAGAAGCGTAAACAAGACTTATTAGCTGAGATATTGTTGGAGGAGCAGCATGGTAGGGAGCTCTCTAAGGTTGTGAAAGATTTACTTCCTGATCCAAAGAACTCAGTTGTTGAAAAGCCACTGCGAGCCAGGAAGGTACCATAGTCTCTGTTGCTTGTAGCTACACTAACTAAACTATACATGTTTTAGTTTATTTATTAATTCTCCATTTTTCTGTTTTGATGCGGTGCACATGATTGGCTTTTTAAAGTTGACTCTAATAAATGCTTGAGATTGTTTCTCAGCGAAGTAATGATCGTAACAGAATGTCCAAGCGCTTGACTGAGGAGGCAGAAAAATATATTGAGGATTTCATTTCAAATGTTGAAGATACAGATATTTCTTCATTGGATGGGGAAAGAAGTGATACAAGTTCAACATTAGGAGGAATGATGAAGCCGGAAATCCTTAAGAGTCCAACCATGTCTAAGTCTGTTCCTGTTGAAATGGATGGAGTAGTACTACCTTGGTTGAAGTGGGAGACTTCTAATGATGCGTCTCCTCTGTCGTGCAAGAATAAGATGGAGCAATTGGCAACTCCAAAATCAAAGTTATGGGATGTAGCCCAGGTAATCTTCCTCCTATTGACCGTGATGGTTGATTGAGAGATCACTTTTATCTTGTCTTGTCGTGCATACATATATATATATATATATTCTGGTGTGCATCTTTGTTGGGTGTTTCTTAAACTTTTGAGTATATTTAAGTGTTGCTGAGTAAGGACTTCTCTAACGTTCATTGATTTCTTTCTCATCTATATCATTTCGTATCTCTCACCCTGTGTAATAGGGAGCGACTCCAATACAAGACACTAGTAATAGCAGCAGAGGGAGTTGGAGTCCAGGGGCTTGGACGGTTATGCGAGAAGATTCTGCAAGTAAATTTGGAGAATTCGGAAGTTGCGAAAGCCAGCTTTCATCAAGTAGAGCAAGAAAGTTGAAAGTAGATGTCGACGACTATCTAAACATTCAAAGCAGTGAAAATATTCTCCACGAGAGATGGATCCAACAAAACAGAATTAATACTGGTGGTCTCCTCCTCTGTGGACACCACATGTTTATTTGACTCTCAAACGTTCTATAGAGCCGTATCCTGTTTTATTTTTATTTTTAATTTTAATTTCTTCAAACTAAATGCTGCTGTGTATAGAGATTTTTATTTAGTTTTAAAAAAGTAGGTATCAGAATGTGAACATTCCAAAGATTGATTTCCATTTGCTGCCATGTGGGAATAATTAGAGATTTTATTTTTAGATTTTGGTTTTACTTAATAATTAGAGATGTTGTGGTTAGGTTAGAGCTAAGTAAGTCCTCTAAGTCTTAAGTGTCGTGTGAGAAAAAAAAAAAAAAAAAAAAAAAAAGAGAGAAGAAAATTGATTTACTTAATATGATGATGATGATGCCCCCTTATTATCATGTAAGTTGAGAAGTCACTGTTTAATCATATCCTCAATTTAAAACCCTAGTGAAGTGATCTGGATCAAAACTAAGCCCAACAACACCAACATCAACTCTTAATCGCACGTACTTAGCTTCTTCTTCTCAACTATTTCACATAATCAACAAATACAAATACATTTCTACTATTTAAAAAAGATTTATCTGTATTATGTACGTGTTACATTTATTTATTTATATATACGTACATATATATATATATAAAATATTAATTTTTATTTAATTGTTTTAAAGATATGTTTTTGTACATTTAAGAAGATTAGTTATCATGTCAAATATTTTATATAACAAATACGTAGTTAGTTTTTATAAATTATAATTAGGTTTTTATATTTGGAAGGACGTAAAAGCATTGGGTTATTGTTTTTAAAAAAAAAAACGAGAAAAGAAGAAAACCTATTCTAATTGTCTTTTTTTTTTTCAAAACAAAATTATTGAGTGCAAATTTAATTTTGTAAATTCTATAAATATTTGTTAATATTTTTACTCTTAATTCCTTGTTATCTCCCCATCGAGAAATTTTGTGATGGATTTGGTTTCAGCTTTTAGTGTTAAATGTGCTGCAGAAGTTGGTCAAAGATTTTACGTAATCATATGGGCAAAATTCCTTGAAACAAATGATTCATAAACATGTAGGTATTGTACACCAGATTGTCAAAAATCCTAAGTTCAGAGTTTTGTCTCAATTTTAAGTCAAAAACAAACTCATTTCTATTTAATTTCAAACACTTCTATTTTACGAGAGTGCATCAGTTATATATAAATGAAGATTTATATAGCTTGCTCCATTTTCAGAATCAATCTTCTTA